TGTATATATGTTGTATAGACACACTGTAAAACCCAATGAGTTAGTTTTAACTCAAACTGTTTGAGGAAACTGGTTGCCCAAGTTTATTAACTCAATTAACAATATAAGCATTGAGAAATATTTGATTTGAGTACAAGTAACCTAAGTATTTGTTAAGGTAACTTGGGAAAATTTAGTTAATTTTACCAATTTCATTCAGTAAATTAAACTTAAAACTAGTAAGTAAACTATAGACATATGCAGCATTTCCCCAAAGTTGTTTAAAATGTGTTAACAGAATCTTTCTATCTATATTTATCCATCTATATTATCTAAATGTATCTATAATAAAGTAAGAATAGGTTAGCTCTATCTTCCTTATACAAATGTTACCACTTATTTTTAATTTTTACACTGCAGCAAATTATTACATTAGCTGTCAAAATAGCTGATGTAAGATTAAAAAAAAAACCTTACAATTACCAATTACAAAATGGTAGCTCATTAATTTCCTGTGGATCAACTAATTTCATATTTACTCCTGTAATTAAGTTGTTACTAAAGCCTATTTAATGTGAACGTGTAATGATATAATGAAAATAAACAACAACAAACATCAAATATCTTATATACACCAATAATTCATTCATGGGAATGAGTGACTCCACATTTTCTTTTTATTAAGATATGCTGTTAGGTTGTGTAGTGCAGACAGTAAATGCAGAGAGAAGGGGTGATGATATGTGCAAATGAATTTAAGAAATTCCTGCAATGTCCTTACTGCTCCACTCAGTGGCAATAAAGTACAAGGCAAGCAGAAATGTCTCTTTCTTTAATGAATGGGAACACTGGTGTATATGACTACTTACCAAACATGTCAAGTGGAAGGTTGTAGACTCACTTTGTTTAAAAAACCTGCTGTGTTTTCTGAAGATAATTACTGAGATGTAAGTGTGACGTGTTAAAATGTAAACACTATTTTTTTAAAAGCTACTTGTGTGGCCAACATAATCAATCAAGTATTTCTTTCATGCTAAATCAGAATCAGAATCACTTGTGTTGGCCAGGTATGCGTAAACATACAACACGAATACAAATTTACATTGCTCTTAGTGTACACACACAGAATACATACAGCAAAAGGGTTAGGGTTAAACAGAGCTAGTCTGGTGGGAAAAGGGTACTCCGGGTCCACACTTGTCTTCCTAATAGTTCCTGTTTTGAACCACATTTACAGTGTTTTTGACCTTTCTCTACCTCTTCTTACAATCAGCTTTCTCATGTAAGTGACTAGAGGACTTTTACTTTCATAATCTGGAAATAGCTTCAGGTTTTGCACAGGATGTGGTACCGTAGAGACCTGCAGGCTGCCAATCTGCGGGCTGCCTGCTGAAGGTGTTGATGTCATTATAGGACTCTGACTCTGGGGTGTGTTTGGTCTGACATGCCAACCCCTAATGCAATCACATAGTTTTCTCTTATGTCCCACAGATGAACACCCTACATATTCCCAGCTGTTCACTGAACATTATTTGACCCCCCCGGTTCAGACTGTCTGAACTGAACTGTTCTGTATTCAGTCTCAAAGAGGAAGTTGATTTATGAGCAGTGTGAATCATCTGTGTCTCACAATAACCTCCAGTCAATGTAAGGGAGCTAAGAGCCCAGAGTCTAGTCCCTCATTAAAAGAAAATTATGATGTGGCTAATTTCAGGTAGTATGAATGGTATGTTTGTGCATTTGTGTGTGTGCCATCGCTTCTCTTCTAAGGTGTCTGAGGTACAAGGCTGGTTTTGTGGTCGAGGTTATGCCAGATCTTGGTGTTGCCCAACATCGTTGTTGTTGATCCAGATTCGTATATACTCATCACAACTTAATAAGCTTAAAGTTGCTTTGCAAAACTGTATAAATGCTGCATTTGGTGTATATAAAATTCTGTCTGATAAAACTTAAGAAGGTGCTTGAGCATCAGGAGGAAGAAGGATAATTAATCCTCGTAAATCAAGTCATTTCAGGTTGTTGGTTCATCTCGTGACTTTGTGTCTTTTATTTACAGAAAGTTACACAATGGCCAGTTATCTGCAGCATCTGTGCAAGCGTGACAAAGCCCTCTGGCAGCCATAGTAATTATGACTCTTGTCTGTTTCCCTTTAACAAAGTAGTGATCTTAACCCAAGCTCACATGCTACAGTCATATGTGCTCTGATGGTATGATGTCCCTCTTCTTGCAGTGTGACTAGTTTTGCAATGTATGTCTAAGGTTCACCTGGACTGTCACAGAAAATGGTAAATGGACCTGTACTTGTATAGCGCCTTTCTAGTCTTCCGAGCACTCAAAGCACTTTTACAATACATGCCACATTCACCCTTTCACACACATTCACTCAGCGAAGGCAAAGCCCATCGAACATAAACTAACTCATTTATACACATTCACACACCGATGCACAGCATCGGGAGCAATTTGGGGTCAGTATCTTGCTCAAGGACACTTCGACACGTGGCCGGAGGAGCCGTAGACGACCTGCTCTGCCTCTGAGCCACAGCCACAGAAGATGACAGGAAGTTGAAACTGGTAAACATATGTGGCACAGCTAATGGGTACTTCACCCCAAAATTAATGGGTGTGCAGTCAGGATGCTTATTATCTCATTACTACCTGCCCATTCATTCAACATCAGCCTGTCAGGACTGTTTAGTAAAGGCCAAGATAAATACATGAAAGTTATAGTTAAGCTTGTCCAACAAACTTAATAAATCATAAATCTGGACATATGATCTCAGATAGATTATTAGTGTTGTAGAGTATAATAGTGCAAGTGGAAATGTTGAAATGCCATCTTGACCTACATTGTTACTACACTGATTACACAAAACAGTTCTAGGATTGTTATGGGACAACCTATCTATCATCCTCCTTATGTTGGTTTTATGTTTGTATGTTTATGATGAACTGACGCGCACATTTGAGTTGGAATTAATTCTAAATTTAGATCCCACTATGTGTTAATGATACTCTTTATCGCAGACAAAAGCTCAAACAAATATATGAGGATGAAGACAGGGAAATGGACAATGGGAATCCAGCCCTGACCTAAGACCAGCTAAATCAACAGAGGCCACCAGAGGCAAATAAATAATAACTAATAACTTCATATTTAATTAAACATTGGACATTGGAGCAGCAGCTGCGATGACAACACAGAAAATGTAAAAGTGAATGCAGGTGAAGGCTAAGAAGGAAAACCAGAATTACTTGTTCAACTCTTTTTGATCGTTAGTGTGGGAGGAACTATTAGCTAATTTTCTCTCCCTAGTCTGTTTTGACCACATTCATACAACTGCAGTCAACACATCTGATCTGTCGGTCAAATCATAAAGGTAAGACATTATTTATATTAAGCAGATAATGTAGATTAAGAATATACTCTACTAAGATATAGAGTGAGATATGTGTAGCCTCATCTGCTTCAAGATAAATGGATTTTGATTAGTTCCCAAAGGATAATGCTCAAGCTTAAGTCATGGAAATTGAATTTAAAATGGACCAAGAAAGGCATTTCATAACACTTTTTTATGAGGCACCAACCTTTAAATGAAAACAAAAATTTACTTTTAACCAGCTCATGGGGAAAAAACCGTAAGAGTGATCAGAAATTCACCAGACATGCAACAATTCTGTGTCAGATCAGAGTAGCGAAGAGTAGTGAAAAAGGTGACATGATGCAAAATAAAAAATCAGGTAGGGGGGTCCTGGGGGCTGGGGCATCGTCCCACGGAAGAAAATCTTTGTGATTTTAAGATGCAAATTAAGCCTTTTCGATACAACTTTCTTTCTTTTTATTTCTTGTCTCTTCGCCTGTACAAGCGTTTCACGAGTTGTAAGTAAAAGTTGAAAATATTACTTTAACTGGTTATGAAACAGCCTGAATTTAATACCAATACCTTTATATGACCTACATAAACAAACAAAGCCATCAGTGAGATTATTGGCCATTTCTAGAAAGTTCTTCTTCATGCCTGCTACTGGGTCGGATTCGGTCCGATTCCCCTTGAAATCAATGAACCGAGGTGTTTGTTTCTATTTAATCCATATGTGTTTCAAAATGTTCCATAATTGTTCTCTTAAATGCTTCTCTGTTTTAATCACCCTGACCTGAGTCTGCAGGCATTATTTCCACTTGAAGCACCTTATTTGGAAGAAACTCCATTCTTCTTAATGAGTTTAGTTTGTTGCTGTTGTGCAGATAAGACCTACATTTAAATAGTGCTCTCTTAAAAATCCCAGAGATCACAAAGTTAGCAAAAGTAGACCTCTGTCATATTTAAATTTGACTGAATTATACAGTCATCATCTTGGGTCTTGGGGTTTGAGCATCGTAAACCTGAAACAAGCTGATACAGAATATATATCATACTGCAACTAATTACTGTTCGCAGGGAGTAATAAGTAAAGTAATAATATTACTTTTGAAAAGAGTAATGAGTGATAAACTGCGTTTTTTGAGTAACTAACCCAACATTGCCTTCAATCACTGTATGTATTTGTGGTGCATATGTATGATCATGATGTAAACAGGTACACATGAACTTGATTACTCTAGTCTTATATAGAGTGTAGCTATACAAAATGAGGTGCTTTTATATTTTATATCTATGTTATATATTTTGTTGATTTATGTAGCAACATTATCGCAAATGTTTCCAACAATGTTCAAACAAACAATGTTCCAATCCATAATTTTATTCCAGTAACCGTGCGTTTCACTGGTCGCCTGTCAATGGGTTACTCCCACAATCCCATGCTACTTCATACTCATCAAATTTTGTTATTTGTTATTGTTTTGATGTGGCAGATGCCCTAGCTACATAATTTACATATTTACTATACGTTTAATACCAGCTTAAGTATTAAAGCTTCCTGAGCTTTCAGGCATTTTACATTATAATATGCACAAGAAATTCACAAAAAGTTTGCATATGCATGTCTAAGTAGAATAATGTAATTCTCCAGTCAGAGACATGGCCTCTGCATTGTCTGAGGAGCAGTTTTGGTGCAGCATCTGTCTGGATATCTTCAACAGTCCTGTCTCCATCCCATGTGGGCACAATTTCTGTCTGGGATGCATCAAATGCTTCTGGGATACAAGACCTAAGTCGGAGTGTCCGCTGTGCAAAGAAGCCTTCAAACGCCGCCCGGAACTCAGGATCAACGTAGGCTTAAAAGATATCACTGAGCAATTTAAATGGTCTGTTGGTCTTATAATGTTTGCACTATTACACGACACACTTGTTTCATGTTTTACATAAAACTAACCAGATCTGTACTTTATCAAAAAGGTCTCTGAAGGACAAGTCAAAATGCAAACCAGCTCCCCCAAGGAGAGGAATTTCAAGACAGGCCTCCAAGTCTAATGAAGTTCCCTGTGATGTCTGCGAGGGAAACAAGTCAACAGCGGTCAAGTCGTGCCTCGTCTGCCGGGCGTCCTACTGTGAGATTCACCTGACACCTCATATAAGGGATCAATTGATGACGAAGCACATGCTGACAGATCCAGGCACCTTTGTCACCAGTCACCTCTGCAGAAATCACAACATGCTCCTGGAAAAGTTCTGCAAAAGAGACAAGACACCTGTTTGTGTGAAATGCATAGAGAGGGACCACAAACACCATGAGATCGTCCCCATGGAGAATGAGAGCAGAAGGATCAGGGTGAGGAAAAGTTTGTCTATCTTTTACCCTGAGATTTCATAATAATGTTACATGCAGTTTAATTAATTCATCAACCTTTACAGACTCAGGTGAAGAAGACCGACACAGAAATTCAACAGATGATCCAGACCAGAATCAGAAAGTTTGAGGAGATCAAGGCTTCAGTGCAGTTGAGCAAAGTAAGTGTTTTATTTCGATGTTTTGCAGTTATAAACATTAATGTTTATGTGACAGAAATTCGACCAAGAATAAGACCAAGCCCCCTTTCACCTGCTGAATATCAGCACGTTAGCATTGTCGTCTGAACCCCAAATTGCTGCCGATGCTGTGCCATAGTGTCTGAATGAATTAGTTTCTGTTTCTGATGAGCAGATGACAATTTGCATGGCAGCTTCCACCATCAATATATGAATGAGTGTGAATGGGTGAATGAGATATAGCGTAAAGCGCTTTAAGTGATCGGTAGACTAGAAAGGCGCTATATTAGTGCAGTCCATTCCATTATTTATTTGCGTTGCCCAACAGCAGCAATGAAAATCAAAGACGAAAATAACAGTCTTCTTTCTAAATATAAATGGACTTTTCTTACATTTGAAAGGATGGAGCAGGGACACTGTGGTCAAAATTTTCCCAGTTTATTGTTGTGCCAGTATGTCTATTTTGTTAAATTCTTATACTTGCATTATTGTACACTATAATCAATAAATTGATGTATTGATATATCTGCAGATAAATAAAGAAAGACAGATACAGACAAGTGTTCAGGTCGTCACCATGGTGATGAGCGCCATTGAGAGAAACCAGGCTTTGTTTATCGATGAGATGGAGCAGAAGCAGGGAGCAGCTGAGAGGCGAGGGGAAGAGCTCCTTAAAGAGCTCGAGCAGGAAATCAATGAACTGCAGAGGACGCGCAGTGAACTGCAGGACCTGGAGCACACAGAGGACCCTCTTCATCTCATACAGGTTAGAAAGCCCTGCTTTCTATTCATGTTTTTATCCTCCCTGAAATATACATAAAACAGAATCTTTTGTGCACTCACAAGCAATGTGGGTCACTGTTGTCCTGTTTTACTGTAGAGTTTCCCCTCTCTGAGCGCCCCATTGTCCACCAGAGATTGGTCCGATGTCAGAGTCCAATCAGACAACTATGTAGGAACAGTGAGGAGAGCTTTCTCCAAGCTGGTGGACCTCTGCCAGGAACTCGAAAATAAACTGTCTGCAGAAGGTCATTAACTTTTGTTGTGATATTGTTGTATTTGTACCCCAAAAAAGCTTGTTGTCAAACTAAATCTGACCATGTTTACCAAAATAAGTGCATCATATTTTACTACTTGTGTGTCACAGAATCATCTGTCACACAAGACAAAACAAAGACAAAAACATACACATAGCTTTTCATATTTTAATTAACACATTTTTTATTTTATTTTTATTTTTTCTCTTCTCTTTTGTAGAAGTAAGCAAGGCCAATCAATATGCAGGTATGTGTATGGTTATAAACTTACTGAACATCCACTTGTCTATAACATAAACAACCACTACAGGAACCAGCACAGCCTGCTTTGCTGCTATGTTGGAAATATTGTGATCATGGTTAAAATTAATGAAGTGTTAATTGGAAACAATTCTATCTCTATTTTGCTATTTCTGTTTAAAAATAATTGAATATGTTGAATACAAGATTAAGCAAAGAACTGAAAATAGGTTTGTTTGGGACTTTCAAACCCCTGCACCATGCAGTTATAGTTTTTGGGGTTTGCTCTGCTTGGAACAAAATCAGAACCACAGCCAATTTTGTTATTTTTGAAAAGGCTGACATGGAAATGTGATTGTTAAATCAAAAGAACAAGAACATACAAGCCTTGGGTCTTTTAATGGATATGAATGCAGAGAGACTACAATAATGTCGTTCTGGTGGAAATGTTAACTTAAAATCTGTGAATTCAGGTAAATATTACATTGCTCATCCATATATTCTGGTTCTCTCCAGTGGATGTGACTCTGGATCCTGCAACTGCTGCAGGCTGGCTGATTCTGTCTCCAGATGGAAAAAAGGTAAAGCGTGATTGTATGATCACTGAATGAAATATGTGACAAACTCAAAGCTGCTTTCTATGGGTTAAAATTAATGGTGAGAATTCAAACTGTTGTATGGTCAAAGCAAGTCCCCAGATGATTGACAAGGTGTCCCTCAAGAATCAATATTAGGTTCACTGCTATTTAATAATATCCAGTCGCTGATTTGGGGGTGGCTACTGGAGAAGTCCTCATTGAAGTTCTGTAAAACGCTACAACTACTTGTGAAGGGAAAGCAGGGCTTGGCTCAGGCTGTGTTCAACCAGGAAGGAGAACTTCCGACCTGCATTGGGGATATTGTTGAGCTGTGGAAAGCACACTTTGAGGAGCTCCTGAATCCAACCAACAAGTCCTCTGAGGAGGAGGCAGAATCTGAAGACTAAGGGGAAGCATCACCCCTATCCCTGACAGGGGTTACTGAGGTAGTAGTCAGGAAGCTCCTCTGTGGCAAGGAACCAGATGCAGATAGGAGTCGCCCTAAGATGCTCTGGCTCTGGCTCTGGACATTGTCGGTCTGTCTTGGCTGACAAACCTCGTCAGTGTCACGCTGAGTGCCAAGGTTGCCCCCCTCTCTCCGCTTCTGTTTTCAAGGCGCAGCCAGAGTGAGGAGAGTGTCCGGTTTGGGTACCACAGAATTGCATCTCTCCTTTTTGCAGATGTTGTGGTTCTGTTGGCTTCATCAGACCATAAGGTCCAGCATGCACCTTCCCCAAGCAAAGCAGTTTAAGTATCTTGGTATTTTGTTTAAGAGTAACGGCATCAGCAGTACTGCGGGAGTTGTACTGGACCGTTGTGGTGAAGAGGGAACTGAGACGAAAGGCAAAGCTTTCAGTTTACCAGTCGATCTACCGATCTTTGGGTAGTGGCCTAAAGAATGAGATAAAAGCAGATAAAAGAAGCCGAAATGAAGTTTGCTCTGCAGGGTGGCTGGACTCAGCCTTCGAAAGAAGCTTGGACATCCAGAGGAGCTCAGGAGTAGATCCGCTGCTCCTTTATGTTGAAAGAGCCAGCTGATGTGGTTTGGGCATCTAATCAAGAGGTCTCATGGGCGCCTCCCTTTGGAGGTTTTCTGAGGATGTCCAACTGAGAGGAGACATCCGGGGTAGACCCAAAACTGCTAAGGGGAGCTGGAAAGTGCTACATACAATCCACTGTACTGTTTACATTGGACTAGATATCCTGTATGCTCTGGCTGCTGCTACTACCCTTAAACCACTGGACATTGTCTATAACAGTTACCATTCAATTCATAACATGTACAAGACACAACAAGACAAGACATAACAATTACAATTAACATATTTCTAATAATATTTGTTATAGTTTTGTGTGTTATGGTTGTTTTTTGTGAATAATTGTCTTGTTGTGATCTTGTGTATAAATAATTTGTTCGCAAGATCTCTTCTGCGAGAGAGACGTGTGTCTCTCGCAGAAGAGATCTTGAGCTCAGTGAGATTTCCTGAATAAATTAAGCTTGACTGACAAACAAACAAACTGATTGTGAAGATGTTGACAGATGATAATTACATGACATTTATAAGCAACACTGATAATGTCCAAGATGTACAAACAGAATGTCATTTGTTGATGATGATGATGATGATGATCCACAGGTGAGCCTGGGCTTCCAGCAGAAGAAACTCTCTGTCCCTGATGATCCCCGCAGGTTTGACTCCTGTGTCTCTATTCTGGGGAAACAAAGCTTCACCTCTGGAAGACACTACTGGGTGGTTCAGGTAAGAAATCAGACCTCCAACTATTGAGCTGAAACACTATTGACGAAATTGCTCAAAATGCTATTGCGTGCACACAAGATACAATTCACTAACAAAGACCACGCCAATGGCTGTATGGAATAAGGAATTTTATTACATGTTATGAACATATATAAGATTCTTGAGGGACACCTTATCATACATAAGATTTAATTTTAAGGATGGAATGGGTGAACGAGATGAAGCTAGAGAGTGTCATGACGTCGAGAGAAGGGAACGGAAGACTATTGGTGGCATGGAAGGTTTTAAAG